GGGGGGGGATGTCAGAGGTGTGAACAGCTGTGGGACGGCCCGTCCAGACTCCCTGCAGCGTTCCTGCAGAGGGCGCGTGTTTGATTATGGTCGTGGACGTGATCCATCCTGATGTAATGACCTACAGTATGGGCCGCATCCCAGTCCAGTCGTTTTAATGGGCCATGAGGGAAGTAGGTGATGATGCCCTCTACGTCTTTCAGCTTAATTAACAAATATACACGTAGTACTGTAGTACTGTGGGACTGTAGTATTGTAGGACTGTAGCACTGTAGTACTGTAGTACTGTAGTACTGTAGTCCTGTAGTACTGTAGTACTGTAGTTCTGCAGTACTGCAGTACTGTAGGACTGTAGGACTGTAGTACTGTAGTCCTGTAGTACTGTAGTACTGTAGTTCTGCAGTACTGCGTGACTAATTAGTTTCTAGTACTGTAGGACTGTAGGACTGTAGTACTGTAGTACTGTAGTACTGTAGGACTGTAGTACTGTAGGTCAAAGGTCAACCGTTTCTAAAACGCAGGGAGCCGTGAGGTCGATGGTGGAAAAAGGATCAGATGAATTCAGGAAAAAAGAAAGGGGGGGGGGTGGTGGTAGATACGACACTAGGTTTGATTGACAGCTGGAGAGTGGAACTGACAGTGACGTCCTGGAACTGTCAGTCACTGGTACTGTTCACCAAGAACCCGGTGTTTACCACGAAGACTTCCAACTGGAGTCAGGTGTAAAGAATTCTCATTTAGATTCAGGTGAAATATGAAGTAGATGAGACAGAATAGTTCAAAAGAAAACAGTGACATCATCTTAGAAAAAAAACAAAAAAACAAAAAAAAACACATCTGAGATTTGATTTGGTTCTGAACCTGTGGAGAACTGTTTGATGTTTCACTGTCGTCCGTCCTGGGACTGTTCATAATTTAATTATGAGATGTGGGAATATATTAATTTTAATGTGTGTGTGGGTGTGTGTGTGTGTGTGTAGCCACAGGAAATAGGTCTGTGAGTCAAACATGAAAATAATCTCCATAGATTTCTTCTTGTGCTAAAGTCGCGGGTCGTCACCGTCGTCGGGGTCGTCCTGGTTGTTTGTCCTGGTCGTTGAGGCAGCACCTCATTAGTGAGAGCACGGAGCTGCTGGTCCGTGGACCAGTGACAGGTCAGTCAGACGGATCACTGGACACTTTGTTCTCACACGTCACCGTTTAAAAATAATGATAAAAAATAAAAATAAATCACTCCTTTTATTGTGACGGGAAGTGAGAGAAAAAAAATGTTTAAAAACAGAGAAATTCAAAGAGGTCAAATTCATTGGTTCCATTTATCTGTCCGTCACTTTTCTCACCCTACGCCCATGTCCACGCCCACGTGCACGCCCACGTGCACGCTCACATGCACTGACGGTGTCACCTTGTACTGATTGAATAATTGTGTAAACACTGCGTGCAGCAGTTTTCCAATCCAGCCGTCGTCGGTGAAGAAGTTGTCATTAAAATTTAATCGACCTTATTAAAAGGAATCGTCTGGAGTGTGAATGTGTGTGTGTGTGTGTGTGTGTGTGTTGGTACAACAGTGAGCAGCTGCTCTGTTTGTTTGGTTGTTTTTTTCATACATATTCAGTGTGTGGCCTGTTCAGGACTGATCTGTTTTTTAGCCGTTCGTCTGTTTCTGTCTCCGCTGCAGACACCACCCAACACTAACCTGTCCAACTTCCTGTCTTCTTTCCACTGACCTCGGTGTGAATCAGGTCTTTGTTTACTGTTCTCCAGATGCAGGTTAGGTTCGTCCTCCGCCGTGAGGACTGTTCCGTAGCAGTGAAAGCTTTAATGGCGAGGTGAGGATGGCTGCAGCGTGTCTTCCCCATCCCCCCATCAGGCGGCGACTGCAGTAAAACAGAAATGACACAGTGCACAGTGTCAGGAAACCAGTGGGAGACGATTAATAATAGAGTGGAATCAGGGAGCTGAAGACGGTCGTCTGCAGCCGAGCAGCTTCAGGAGCCGCTCAAGGATTTATCTCTGATCGTTTCTCCTTCTCAATCAAACTTATTTAAATTTTCTTTAGCCTAAATGTGAGTCGTGGGTTTGGCCTCAACATAGGGGGCAGGAAATCAATAGTTCCAAAGAGCCTCATTGATTAATTGACGGTCAATAATCTCTCCTCCTCCCTGGATTTTCTTTAACCCCACGCCGCGGCCCAACACTGAGCCCACGCTCTTTGTTTCCAGTGATGTCACAATGCTAACGCTTTGTTTATGGTGACACAATGAGGACCCTTGTCGGGACAAAGGAAACAAGAGTGCTTGTGGGAAAGGAGTTGTGTGGGAAGCATAGGGTGAGCCGGGGTCAATTGGTCCTAAACAGTGTTTGGACGATGACCCCACATGGTGGCGGGGGCAGAGAGAGGCTGGTGCTGTGATTGGTCTGGAAACATCAGCTGTGACGGAGCTTCGCGATCCTTCTCTCCTGAGGAACGGCTCAGCGTTTCACAAAACATTTGGCCTGAAATCAAATGTAAAACACGGATATTCAGACACGATAATGAGTCGAGCGGTTTGTGACTCATGTCACGAACGTCCAGACGATGATGATGATGTCGAAACCTGAAACCATAATTCCCGTTCAGGCAGATGTGACAGACAGTCTGCCCCCGGTGGTGAGGAGCGGTTCCTCCGTTCCCATCTTCAAACAGACAGTGACTGTGTCACAGACACACAGATCCACAGACAGTGAGTGGGTCAGGTGTCACCTCACTGTGTGTACGGATGTGGCTACACACAGAACAGTGGTTCTCAAAGTGGGGGGCGCAGAGCTGCAATTTTAGTAACACATATGTAGTACATTGTAGTATTTTATTGTTGTGTTTTCTTCTCTGACATACTTCAGCAGTGCAGTATTTTTACAGTATGTATTCCTGTACTCGTACTTCACCCCCCCCCCCACCCACCCCGTCATACCCTGAATAATTCATCACTAAAATCCTCTGTGAGTTCATGTCCGACGCTCTACTCAAACAGGAGAGTTCAATACAAACAATCTCTGCAGAAAAAATGGAAGATTCCAGATGGAAGAAATTCTTTTTCCCTCAAATCTCTGTTTCACTTTTTTGTTTCAGTCGCTGGTTTCACCCACCTAATTATCTCCTGGGAAATGACTTCACACTGACATGTGTGTGTGTGTGTGTGTGTGTGTGTTTCAGAGTGCCCTCCAGAGTTCCCCTTGGGGCCTGATGCAGGCGCTGGAGCAGCAGGTCGGAGAGCTGAGGGTGGACGCCGCCGACGGCTGCTGTGACGGAGCGCAGACAGACGGGGGCGACAGCCGACCCAGCTCTGGTACATTCCTGACTGAATGTGAACTCTGTGGTTCACTAATTTACAGTAGAGCTGTGTGTGTGGGGAGGGGGGGTCGAGGGGGGGTGTTCTCTGAGAAACATTCCTCCAGTTTGGAATCTGTTCCTGCTGCTTTTGTTCTTCTTCTCCTGTTTCTTGTAATTTTACTTTTGTGGTCGGTGGGTAAAATGCGGTGAGACCCTGTCTGCA